AGGGCTATTTATTTATTTATTTTATTTTTTTATTTTTGATTACAGCTTGATTCCACACTGTATTTTTGGTACAAGTATGGAATTTTCAGCATGGATATCGGTAGCCCAAAATTCGCAGGCCGACCATAGATATCACGTGTGCGTCGGGGTGGGCTCGAACCCCGGACCATGTGCATGGTCGGCTAGAGTCCTAACCACTGTGCCACCGACGCACCAGTACTTCCAGTGTACAGTTGGGTCTTAAAGATAGTCTGTCCTTGAAAACTATAGATTACTCAGTGAACATATCAAAGTGTATTGAATTTCAGGGGGTCTGAACTGATTCATCCCTCTGAAAGGAGTCTAACCAGGCAAAATATTGGCAAACTCGACTATAAATGTGTGAAATATCTCTCCCGTGTTTCGATTATCTCAAATTGATTTCCTAATGCTTGTGTCAATTATCAATAGCATGTATCATCTTTCTAGCATATTAACTCTCTTGCATAACTGGTCTCTGCTTCATAAAACTGCACATACTTCTTATTTATTAAAGTTTTGAATATTTTTTATTCATCTAATTAACGATAATGTTTATTTCAATAAGGCATTAAGAAGACAAATTTCGCAAGATGATGTCGTCATTTCGAAGTTTCTTTACAACCGCTTTACAACTAACATGGTTAACAATAATTTTAAAAAAAAAGCGATCTATTTTTCGTAAACAGATATGGTGTGGACAATATTTTCATTTTACCAGTTTTGTTCCTATCCAGTATAAACGTTCCCTAGTGAAATGTTTGTTCTCAAGGGCTCGAAAAATATGCATGAGTGACACATTGATGGATGAGTTTTGACCTATACATTCAGTTTTATTAGCTAATGGTTATCCGGAAAACTTTATCACTTGTCACAGTAAAGAAAGACTACATCTCGAAATGACAGCTTCTGTACCAAAGAAAGCTATCTTTATTAACCTACCTACCATTCAAAGGTGACCAGATTATGCAGTTAACAGCTAGCTCAAAGACTTCGGTCAGCCATCAAACTCACATTCTACGCCGCCTCATCTCTTTTTCTCATTTGCCGAACATTTTCGATCCTGGTACCTACCTACGATTAAAGGACGAAATTCTGTGGACTCTACTTCAAACTGTATCTACAAGTTCACCTGCAGCTGCAGTGACACCTATGTAGGTAGAACCAACAGAATGTTCCAATGTCGTCGAAAAGAACATATTCCAAAATGGCTAGTAAATCATATCGAAAATCCCAATGAGATTAATCTGAATAGAAATCCAGCATCATCGATTGCAAAACACTTATTAATGTCAGTTCACAAAATCAATCAATATTAATGACTGTTTCACAACTATTTCACATAACTCTAATTCAAGGTTATTGAGGGTGATGGAAGCACTTTGGATTGATCACATACAACCTAAACTGTGTGTACAAAAAACAATAGACTTCAATCTTCGCCTACCATGGACTACATGACCTATCTAAATATGATTGGTCATTAGTGTGTACTTTTGTTTTTATTTAACTGAGTAATTGTCATGAACTTTATTTTATTATTGTTAACCATGTTAGTTGTAAAGAGGTTGTAAAGAAACTACAAAATAATGCCATCATCTCGCGAAATTTGTCTTCTTAACGCCTTGTTCAAATCTATCAAAGGAACTAATTGTTTTGATAATGTTTATCTTATGAACTATAAGATCCACATGTATTACAAATTCAGTAATCGAGAATACTTGGTTTAAAAAATGAGGAATTCAGGCTTCCAAATAATAATGATAAGTAAACTGCACCCATCAGTTCGAATGCACACAGTAAATGAAAAATCCCCATATTGAAATCAAAACATGATTTTGAGGGAACAATTGTTTTCGATAACTTCTTCTTCAAGCTCTACAGTTAGAAATCTTTGAATAATGGAGTACATATATAGCCAATAATGGCAAATGAAAACAATATCAGAAACTGTATTGGGATGCATGTGTAAGTTGAGGTGATAGTCCATTAGTTAACATAGTCAATCAAATGTGTGTAGGGTATATATTCAGAAAAAAATGTGATGAAGCGTGAATGAACAATGGGGTGATATAGACTTGTTTTATAGTCAATAGAATACATCGGGGTTAGAGAAATGCGATAACCACAAAATACATACAAATACACATTAACACATTCAGTGTCCCCTTTGTTAATATGTATCTTTATGTATTTTGTGGTTATCGCATTTCTTTCAGCTCAATGACACTTGTATTCTTGAATTGAATTTTTGATTTTCCCGTCGATTGATTGGACCGAAGTGCTCGGTCTCAGGTTGACATGTCGGCTTCTTGTGCAGATGCTTCGACGATGTCTGGGTATTTAATTAGTATACAATTGGTGGATGGTGGCTAGCAGTGGAATCCAGGATGCGCATTTCGTCCTATTTGGGACTCGTCATCTGGATGTACCTGCATTTCTCAGTGAGTGATGATGTTCCCACCGAGGCTCGAACCCAGTACCCATAGTTTCAAACGCCAAAGCGTTATCCACTAGACGACTTGGACCACGACAGCCACCTCTTGTGCAACGGGTCATATAAATTATTGAATTGAATTTTTGATTTTCCCGTCCACTGATTGGACCGAAGTACTCGGTCTCACCAAATGTATACTAATTAAATACCCAGACATCGTCGAAGCATCTGCACAAGAAGCCGACATGTCAACCTGAGACCGAGCACTTCGGTCCAATCAATCAACGGGAAAATCAAAAATTCAATTCAATAATTTATATGACCCGTTGCACAAGAGGTGGCTCTCGTGGCCCAAGCCGTCTAGTGGATAACGCTTTGGCGTTTGAAACTATGGGTACTGGGTTCGAGCCTCGGTGGGAACATCATCACTCACTGAGAAATGCAGGTACATCCAGATGACGAGTCCCAAATAGGACGAAATGCGCATCCTGGATTCCACTGCTAGCCACCATCCACCAGTTGTACACTTGTATTCTGTTGACTATAAAACAACACTATATCACCCCACTGTTCATTCACGCTTTATCACATTTCTTGATCATCACTCAGCTCATCCACCCACGGTAAAACGACGATTAATACAAGGTTTTGCAGATAGAATACGTAGAGTTACAACAACACCAGAGGACCAGTGTAAAGAAATAAAAGTCCTATTCAAAATGCTACTGGAAAACAACTACCCTAGAGAATTTATAAAAGATAATATAAAAAAGAGAAAAAGGAGGGTAAAACTGGAGAATAAAAAGGTGGAAGAATGGAAGAAGATAGTCACAATACCATATAAAAATAGTACATCATAGACAATTCAAAGAAACCTCAAAAATATCGGCATTCGAACAAAGTTTAAACCGACGAATCTAATCAAAAATAAAATAAATCCACTGAAAGATTCCATAAAAATGATGGATAAAAACAATCTGATTTACAAAATATCTTGTGCTGACTGTCCGACTAAATATGTTAGGCGAACGTCCAGAACACTCAAAATAAGAGTGACTGAACATAAACACCTAACCAAAGGTCAACCAACAGGAACACAAGCCTACAAGAATCTTGAAAAAAATTCATCGATAGCTGCACATGCATAGGACAAAAACCACAATATCGATTGCAACAATGTGTGTATTCTAAAAGCTAACATGAACAAATGGAAAGAGAGACTTATAACAGGCCACACCGGATATATGTAACAAGGGTGACTCAGTACAACTATCAACAACTTGGAACATAATTCTGAATACAAAAACATGAGTGAGCGAAAAAAAATAATGAACCAGATTGCCGAACGAAACGTTGGAATTACTCATTTCAATATCGCTGAGATTTTACAAATATAATTTTTTACAAATGTCTGCTTCTCATTCGGCGCTCAAATATTTTAGAACTATCCTGTCAAATCTTGACTACAGTTCATTTGATAATGAACTATATATATGAGTACAAATCATAAATGTGTGAATAAAACAATTCCAACAGTGGTGTGAACATGGGCAGTAATTTTGCTCGAAATATTACCAATAACAAAACTTATCAGTGTGTGTAAACTATTGAAATATAATTAAACTTTACCATATCACCCCATTGTTCATCCACACTTCATCACATTTTTTCTGACTATACACCCTATACACATTTGATTGACTATGCTAACTAATGGACTATCACCTCAACTTACACATGGACCCCAATACAGTTTCTGATGCTATTTTCATTTACCTTTATTGGCTATATATGTACTCTATTATTCATGGATTTCTAACTGTAGAGCCTGAAGAAGAAGAAGTTATCGAAACCACAATTGTTCGCTCAAAATCTTGTTTTGAATGTACACACTCCGCATAATCTATATAAACTCTATGAACTGGTCACTTTAAAGTATGTGAAACGAACAGCAAAAACTGTAGATATATTACACCTACATTTATCAAACAATAGTTATTAGTCTCTAATGTCTTTGTATTTGTTAAGTAATAATGAATTAGTGAGCATCTGGTTCTGGGAGGTCAGTTCGCTGAGTCCTAATCTTGTAAACTTGGAGGCGTCTAGTTGCAGTTCCAGATATACATCTCACAAACATTCGTCATCTGTCGCAGTAGTAACAATCTATTAATCCTCGACTGTTTCAGTTGGTTTCATTAACAGTTAGCAGCCTCTCTCGTCCCTTCAAATTCGTTGTGATTGGAACTGACTGAAGAAGACTTATTTGGTGGCTGTTGTGTGATTATAAATGGTCGTTAGGGTGATATTTATTAACATGGTAGCTGGGTATTATGAGGGACAACTACAGTGTGAAATGGTTGGAAGCCAGTAATTCAGAGGCCTCCATTTTGAATCGCGTTGTGACACATTTTCACATTACCTTTATCCCTTACCCATGGCATCAAATTTTCACTCGTTGTTTGGTAGAATATATTTCTACGCAGAATTCCGGTGTACGACAAAACTACTAACATACAGAGGATAACTTTTTTTTAATTCTTTACAGGGGAATACTGAATGTATGGAACTACTTCTTGAATATGAAGCTGATGTCAATCATGCGGATAAAAATGGTTTAACTGCTCTACATATGGCTGTAGATGGAGAGCAACCGAAAGCTATCCGTCTATTGGTTAATTCTTCAGCAAATTTAGAAGCTGTGGATAATAATCTTGGATGGACGCCTTTATTGCGTTGTTGTAAGTTGTACTGGCTGAGTATATCTAATATTTATTTTTAAATATTATAATACCTTATTCAAATGTTGACTTTGTGAAGACGATGTTAGTTTTTAGAATGCACACTGTTAGGAAAGCCATTAAAAACTTAAACAACACACAACAGCTTTTTTTATCCAAGAAGTTGTGATTTGTGAAGTCAGTCAAATAGGGTGTAAAGACAGATGAATAATAATAACGCTGGAATGTATCATACATTGTATAAAAGGAAAGACCTTCAGCGAAGAGTTTCTGTTTTCAGAGGTTTCATCCTCAGAATGTGTAAAGACATATACATCTAATGAATGATGTCAGTAGCAAAAGGGATATTGCTAGAGATTTGTCATTAGAATGGGAAAAATTAAACATCGATTACGCAACACAGAGAGCGTTCCATATTAATTAATTTATTAAATATGTCACAGGGAAACAGTATTATTTACTGGATGACAATGTTTCGAACACAGTTTATTCGTGTTCATAATCATATCAATTATAATCACACGATTTCGAAAATTTCGACTTATATTTTTCTTTATTCTTTCCTATTTGTCGTAGGAGAAGTGGAATTTTACAGATGTCCAACTGGACAGGTTTTGATTCATTCCTATTACACGTATTCTCCTCAGTTGATTCGATAAATAATGCTTCCGTTGTCAATCTCATCCTCCAGCCTGTTACATCACATTTTAAAACTGTCATCTTATCCCATCCTATTGTATGGATGTTTGTTACTGAATGTAGTTAGTGGAATAGCTGAACTGTTCTGCAAATTTCTTATCTTAATATTGAGGTCAACTAATCTAGATTCTGCTGCTAGATTTTTGTACTCCGCTAGTCTGACTCACTAACTGACCCCGTTCTACTTCTAATTTGACCTGACAATCATGCCATAAGAATATTGGATAAACTAAAGTGTTTTGTTAGGTTGATTCTACAGGATTTATCCTTTAACCGACAAAGCTTGTTTCTAATTGAGTTTGTGGGAGGTTTGAATGTCAACCACTTTTGTTCCTTCATTGTTAAGAATTCTGCGTAGTGTTACTGGGGTTCCTTCTTTGTGTGGAGGTACAACTGATGATTTAAATCCCCTTTTGTTCTCCAACGGGGGTGATGTGCTTGAATTAATCATTTTTACCTGTTGTATAGCATAAACCACTCATAATGGATCACGCATCCACGATTTCTGAAAACGAAATACGACTTATCCTTACATAGCATTTATAAAGGATCATGAACGCGACAGTCAGTCCCACTTCCAAGACTTTAACATAAAAAGAAGAAATGATGGGATGATTAGAAAAATCCATCCACAGGAAAAAAAAGTTGAACTGGTTAATACTTGAATGATCACAGCATTTGTTCAATCGGCTATAAACGAAGCCTGGTAAAAACGCTCTTCAATAGAACGATGGAGTTATGTTCAGAAGATAAGATTGAAGAGGAACTAGTAGATGTGGAAAATGGATACCCTCAAAAGCTAATATCGAAATACGGGTGTGAGGAAACACCTAGATAGAAGCCCGAAATAGCTGAAAAGAAACCAGTTTTTGGAATTTCATCATGAGCTGACATCATTTAGAGAACCACTGGAAAACCTGGGTGTACTGGACAGCTGTTTCATCCTAGTTTGGGACTCTTCATCAGTACGCACCCACCGGGATTCGAACCCAGGACCTTCCGGTTACAAGGCGAGCTCGTATACCATTAAGCCACTGGGACCCGATCCAATGGTCCTGGAATTCTAACTTCTGTCCAGTACTCCCAGGTGGTTTTCCAATGGTTCTCTAACTAATGTCAGCTCATGATGAAATTCTGAAACCAATCAAATCCCTACAAACCATCACTTGATAACCAGTTTTTATCTGTCTAGCATACAAAAAGGAAGAAGTATCCACAGGAAACGAAAAAAGAGTTAAGGGTGCATTGAAAAAAAACATTTCTAACCTCTGGACACATTTAACTTCACGAGACGATATACTCGTTAAATCAGTCGAAACTAGATAAATACCTTGCTCATTTCAACTTCTACTGCATTTACCAGTTCACCTGCAACTGTGGCAGCAAGTACACAGGAATGACTGAGAAAAAAGATCGTCTAATAGATTTTTTGAGCATATCCCTGTAATTCTCCATTTAAGAGGCAGAAAAATGTTCTCGACTGCAATTGCTGGTTTTCTGATTGACATAGGACATATAGTGGGAATTACTCAGAGTTTCAAAATGCTCAATACACACAGAAAACCACGATTACTTCGGTTCATAGAAGCCATTGCTATCAAAAGACTTCGATCCAACCTATATGTGAGGAAAGATAGTGTGACTAATGATTCACTTACCTGGTAACTGTAATTGTTTTGTTCGTGTACTTTTGTGTTCTGTTCTGCTGCTTAACATTCCACTTAATTTTGATTCTCACTTATTGAGTCGAACTCACTGTCAAGTTTCTAAATCTTCTAAACTGTTTTGTCTACCTTATAGTTTTACTTTACTAATCACTCCCACGCTCCTAAATTCTCCATCATCATATGTATCAATTCACACTGTTGTTCTGTCTTGTATTTTTTCTCTAGTCCATCCTTGTTTGTGGTGGCACAGAGGTAGAATGTTCGCCAGCCACGCAGGTGGTTCGGGGTTCTATCCCCAGCTGACGCACTCCTTTACCGCGCTGAGCCAGTTATAAGACTGGTAAAGAAGGAAGGTTGGGCATGAGGCTAACAACCCCATCCCGTAGAAACAAAGCGCCACTGCTACCGAAACTTCAAGCCTCCAGCTTGAAACCAATGTATGTTCCACTGGAAACGTATAGGAATAAAAAAATCCTTGTTTCCAAGAAAAATCTCAATTCTATCCTCCCGTCCAATTATTATATAAATAGTCTTTTAACACTGAATTATTTGTCTGTTTACATCATCTTTGGAATTGTGTTACCCATACTTTCCATTTATGAATCGAAGTGATCATAAAAAGTATGTTCAGAAATTTTGTAACCTATAACAGAATTTGTTTAGGACGTACACACCTGAAGAGACTTCACAAGATAAAACGACGTCGTATTACCCTGCAAATATATTCATTCTTTTTGATTGGACACTAGTAACTAGTGCGACCTGTCTAGTCCTTTCTTTGGTGCAGACTGAATTCTATCAGTCAGGTTTGCAATGTGCCCACCATTCTAGATAGCTCGCCATCACGGTGGGCATTGATTTGATGATGTTAGATAGTTGAAGGCAATCGGCCACAGGAAGTTTTGGACCTAGGTTTCTTCGTGCTACTTGGCACTCATCAGCAACCTTGAAGGAACTCATGTCCCTTCTGAGATCTGAACCCGCGTCACCCAGTACCACCTTCAGCCGGAGACGTTACCACTGAGTTATTCGGGCTCGCGATTGACCTCCTGTATGACTTTAGTGGGTATTTTGATTGGACACTTGTAGGTCGATCGCTAGCCCGAAGAGCTCAGTGGTAATGTCTCTGACTGCAGGACTGGGTGACGCGGGTTCGAATCTCAGAAGGGACGTGAGTTCCTTCAAGGTTGAGGATACGCCTTGCTGATGAGTGCCAACTATCTTGAGACCTAGGTCCAAGGGATCCTGACGACTGCCTCCAACTATCTAATATCATATTCGTTCTTCCTTTAATACCCATCACCAGTTTTAAGTAGTCAAGAAGCTTAGGTCTTTTGAAACCTATTTTACGTTAATTTAATCATATTTATTCAGTTTAGCATAATCCCTTGGAAGAGACCTTAATTTGAACATCTATATTGAGCAGGATAAGCATTTTCACTCACATTACTTAAATTTAGCACCGGATACTTCGTAATTTAAGTCAATGTTTTGTCCTTTCTTAACATTCTTATTATAAAACCACCCCCTCCTCCAAGTTCACTATGTGTGTGTAGCAGCGGTTTAGCAGTAGACTGGTGGTCACCCGCTCGATGGCAATCAATGAACTCCCCAACCTTGCTAAGTTTATTAGCCAATAGTAAGCCAGAAGAACAGGGAAGATTGAGCACAGGGCTAGAGAACCCCACCGCTCATGAAGCAACAACACTAGTACTACTGAAAATTTAGAGTATAAAGCTTCACACCCTACTTTCCCCGTTGGGAAGGCAAAAGAATAAAAAAGAAGCTTCCAAAAGATTACTTTATCTCCACTAATTGACATTTATTCTAATTATGTTCTCATTTTCTTTCCGCCTTGGTTTTTCTTCTTCTCTGCGTATAACAGCTGCTCTGAAAAATAATGGAAATGTGGAAGTAGCTAGAGAGTTAATTAAACTTGGTGCAAAAATTGATGCACAAGATTGTGATGGTAAAACACCATTGCATAATTGTATTATGGTTGGACATTATGATTTATGTCAATTATTATTGCAGAATAATGCAAGCATAAAATTGCAGACAAATGTAAGTATCAAATACTTTTATCTCTGACATAATATTATTGTTATTTCTCGAATATATTATAATTTACTCCTCCTCTAAATTTCCCAGTTGTTTGTATTTTATTGTGAAAGCATATGATGATCAGTCTCTACTGTCATCTCAATTACTAGGAGAGATGTCATCTTAGATTTGAACTGAAGTAATAATATTATTAATCACCATTAATAGGAGAAATCAGAAACGTATCACCTCTTTCAACTACTTGATCTAGGCAGCCTCTTTTAACTGGAGCTGGTACCAATGAGGATGCCAAAGCCAATCAGAATCAGCAAAGCGAGAGAGGCGTTCTTTACTTTGAAATGGCAATTCTATGCATCATCATCATCATCAAACAAAGCATGGAATGGCAATCAAACCTCTACCTCAACTTTATAGACTTCGAGAAGGCCTTCGACAGACAGTATTGACCGCGGAGTAATTTGGAAACTACTCGAGTACTACGGCGTACAGTGCCCCAAATATTCATCAACCTTATTCAACAGCTAGCTGTACGACAACGGTGGCACATGTCAAGTCATCCACAACGGAAAACTCAGCGAGGCATTTGGAGTAAACACAGGAGTCAGACAAGGGTGCTTATTACCACCAATGAATGATATTCCTAATTGTGGTGGACTGGATTATGCGTCAGACAGTGAGTGGGAAACGAGAAGACAGGGATATTCTGGACAGACATGAAGAGCCTAGAAGACCTGGATTTCGCGGGTGGATAATTTATGCTTGATGTCACACAAAATCGAAGACTTACAAGCGAGCGAAAACCGACAAACTGGTCGAAAAAGCAGCCTGTGAAGACAGGACTCCAAGTGAACATAGACAAGACAGAGGTTGTGAAAAGAAGCAACCAACAACAACAGCGGCAACATCCAGCGCCAATCACCATCAAAGGGGAAGATTTGAAAGATGTTACTTCATTCACTTATCTAGGGAGTATTGTCTCAATTACAGGCAGTTGGAACGGATGAACACATCAAATCGAGCGAGAAACACATTCATCAACCTGAAACCAATCTGGAAATCTTCGTCACTCACCATCAACAACAAAATTCAGTCGGATTTTCAATACAAACAACGTCAAGTCAGTCAGTCAGTTCTCCTATACGGATCGGATCAGAAACTTGGCGGGCGGGTCACAAAGAATATTTCCAACAGCCTGTTGCAGACCTTTGTCAACCAACAACTGTCTTCGCTGGATCTATACCGAAGATCAGATGGCCGGGCCGGGCTGGAAAGAATCACCAACAAGAAACTATGGGAAGGAACAAACAAAACAAGAACCTATCAATCGCCAACCAACAGATATGCAGGAGAAAGTGGAGATGGATTGGACACTCGAGGCTGAGGAGGCCGCTGAGTGACATCGCGCGCGCGTCAGGCCATTGCTCGAGTGGAACCAGACCGAAAGGGAAGTGGCGAGTGGGACGTCAGTGCAAGGGTGGGTGACATGGAGGAGATCGTGTGAAGAGGAGTTGAAATAGTATAGACTAACATGGATTCAAGTGAAAAGTACAGCAGAAGGAAGACAGAAGTGGAAAATGGAGACGTGTAGTTGAATCCCTATGTTTCACTAGGAACCCAAGGAAACAACAATAATAATACTTTGAAATAGTAGTGAAGATATACAGCACTTAACTTAAGGAACTAAAGCAAGTCAGTGATTCTATGTAGTTCAAAGACCTTGCATGCCACGGGAGGCATTTCCAACAGACTGTCTTCGCCTGATAATGAAGATCAAATTGCCGGCCAGCCATAAAAGATAAATCTCAAGGAACTGGGGTAATTTGTGAACCAACCAAAGTTCGCTTGCTGAAGAGATATGCAGATGAAAATATAAATCAGTTAGACATACTTCGAGAAGACTGTTGAGTCAAAACATACGCCGGACAGTGGTGTCCGACAGGGATGTCCACTTTCCCCATTTCTGTTTAACTTCATCATAGATATGCTAATGGAAGTATCCTTAACTGAACGTAGTGACTTAGGAATCGACTTGTTACCAGGGAATAATCTAATGGACTTAGAATATGCAGATGACATAGTCCTGTTAGGGGAGGATGCTGACAAAATGCAGAGTCTTCTGAACACCTTGAGCAGCAATCTTCGTATGTTTGGCATGCGATTCGCCCCTGCAAAATGTAAGATGCTGCTACAGGACTGGACGACGTCAACCCCTAACTTAGTGATAGGGAGTGAAGTGATAGAACATGTTGACCACTTCACCTACTTGGGAAGTTGGTATTAGCACCAACGGACTGATTGGCGATGAAATCTCAGCACGGATCCGAAAAGCTCGAGCTGCTTTCGCTGACCTACACCATCTCTGGCGTAGGCGTGACATCCGATTATCAACCAAGGGACGTGTGTACTGCTCATCAGTTCGCTCCGTCCTTCTCTATGGCTCTGAAACATGGCCAATACGCGTTGAAGACATGAAAAGGTTGAGTGCTTTCGATCATAGATGTCTGCGATCTCTGTCTCACGTTAGGTGGTTTCACAAGGTAAGTAATGTTGACGTTAGGCGTAGAGTGTTGGGCAAACAGGGAAAATCAATCGACGAGGTTATAAAGTTACATAGACTAAGATGGCTAGGTCACGTGCTGCGCATGCCTAACCACCGCCTCCCCCGACGGGCATTGTTAGCTGATATAGGTTCAGGTTGGAAAAGAGCCAGTGGTGGCCAAACAAAAACATGGCATCAATCCATGAAATCCTTGACAGTTAAACTGAGTCAGGTAGGGAGATGCAGACTCCCGGGTTGGGGCCCTCGGGACTCTAGGAATCAATGGCTGGAGACAATAGGTGACATGGCTCAAAATCGTTGTCAATGGCCAGCGCAGATGTATTCAGTCTCTGTAATCTTTCATATTCCTTTCTACAATTACCCATTCTGTTTCACTCCTATATTTGTCAAACTCTATTAATTCTCTCCACTCATCTTCTTGTCTACCTCTGTGTGCTATTTGGAACGTGGCAACTCGAACTGCTGCACTTCGGTGCCAAGTTCTATGTTGAATCCAGACAGACAGGACATGCGAATGGGAACCGAATGAGAAAAGACGAGTTGGACTTGTTACCGAAGGTGACATGGAAGGCATCGTATAAAGGAAATGAAAGGTTATGAGTAGCCATCGAGCTAGCTAAAGTGGGTGAAATGAAGATATATTGCTAAAGTCATATGTTCCAGTTAAAACCTAAGTGAATACTAATTATTATTATAGTTATTACTCATGCTTACTAAGTTACTGGGCAATCTATTCTATCAGTGTTTATTGTTTTAAAAATGATATCTGTTAATGGTGTGTAGAGGTACAACCTCTACGAAATATACGACTTGGGAAAAAATACCTATAATCCCTGTTATAGGTCTAGTCTGTTTGCAATATGGTCAACAAGCTAGGTGATTCATCACCGCGTCATAGAGGGTTAAATCAATGTCACGTATTTGTAGGGGGTCAGTTAGAAGACCTTGTTTTCGTCAGAAACGTTTTCCTGCAGGGAAATGATACCTATTAGGAGATTACGACATGAATCAACCAGCAGCGTAGTCAGAAACGTTAGTGTTGAGCTATTCGCGCCTCCTGAAGACAACATCCAATCACTTAAGCTGGCGAAAAAACAGCTGTAAGCAGTGAATAAATTTTTTTTTATATCAAGAGTAGAGCATTCTTAACCCCCATATTAAGATATTTAATCACCTAATAAGGTTGGTTAACAAGATAGCACAAAAAAATGAAGACGAAATGATGGAAATTAATGGTCAGTTTATTCTGTTTGAATTTTGACTAAACAAACTTAACTTTCGTATTGTGACAAACAGTACAGGACTATTTTTCTTCTATTCTTATACGTGCCTAGAAGAACATAGGGCTTAAAGCCTGAACTCTGTATGTTCACTAGTGGTGGTGATATTTCTACAGGGTGAAATGGCTAGTTTCGGGCCCAATCTTCCCACGCTTCTGAACTTACCTTCACTTAGTAAAGTAGGCAAGGTTTAACGGCGTGTCTGTCCGTTGACCGGGAATCGAACTCGGACTTTCTGCTTGGCTGGTAAGCATTTTACTACCTAATCACAAATGCAAAAATACAGGACTTATTAAACTCTTATTCAAACTCTGTAACGGTTTCGACTAGATTCATTGTAGATTACTTCGCGAAACGAAAGCAGGTAGAGAATAATTGAAATCCACCAAAAAACACAGGGCAGCTATTTTATCCTAGTTAAGAACTGTGTAGTAACATACAACAACGACCCATACAGGATGGGTATCCTGGAGCCCTAGTGGAGTCGTAGCAGGTAGGAGCCGTCATGTTGGGTGTGAAACCAGTGCTTATCAATTGTATAGCTAAATCACAAATTGATAGAAGCTAGAATTCACGTGTTATCAGAAGGGTTAACTTCTTAGGTAGTTCATCTCCCTGCACTGCCTAATAGTTCCAAATTAGGACTAAATAGCTATCCAATCGTTCCTGCTCTTCATTGGTTCTGTAAAACTCTAAAACATTCAAAGTTCTATTCAGACAAGATAGCAGTTAAAAAGACAGTTAATACACCAATAGTACTGATCGTTATCAGTAGTCGGAAACCACTCACCACAACTCCTATCGTTTCCGAATCGTTCCTCTCCCTGTTAAGGTTGAAATCATCAATTCGCAGAATTAAATCTGTTCAAACCAAATCGCTTCTGGCCAGCCACTTAAGTGAACTTGTAACAAAGAGAAGATAATTTGTTCTTTTAAAATCAAATAATTCAGGCGCCATATTAAGAGTTTTTGATTATTACTATTGTATACCTTTTTGATATGAAGATTACTCTCAAATCGATTACATTGCTGAATACTCACAGGAATGCTTTACAAAAAGCAAAGTTTTTTTTCCTTCACGTTCCCAGTGGAACATAGGACTTCAAGCTAGTGGCTTGAAGTTTCTGTAGTAGTGTTTTTTTATTTCTACAGGATGGGGTTGCTAGCCCTATGCCCAACTTTTCCTCCTTACCAGCGTTATTTCTGGCTTAGCGAGGTAGAGGAGTTCGTCGGCCGGGAATCGAACCCCGGACCATGTGCATGGTCGGCGAGCGTCCTAACCGCTGTGCGATCGACGCACAAAAATGAAGGGGGCACTCTTAAAAGAATAGGTACGATATATGTGTGTATGGTCAGAATGCTTAATTGGCATTGCTGAAATGCATTGAAACACGTGGAGATGTGGTCCATTCGTTTGAGAAGTCGACTCTAAGTCGTTTAATCATGAGGTTTAAGTACTACTCCGCCTACCTACAATCTGGCCAATTGGGAAGTGTACTAACGGCTCTTACACGATAGGTGTGGCTCATAACCTGTTGGAAGAGAAATCAGCTCTAGGTATGACCGACTTTCAACTACTACAGGTGGAACTGACAAGGATATCGAGGTGAGGATCGGGAAAGCAAGTCAAGCTTTCATTACTCTCAAATATGTGTGGAGGTACAACAACATTCAGCATGAGAAATAAGATCCGGATTTTCAACTCCAGTGTGAAGTCAGTGCTACTATACGGATCAGAGACTTGGCGCCGCGTCACGAAGGGCACTTCGAACAAATTACAGATCTTCATCAGCAGCTGTTTTCACTCAATGCTACTTAAGATCAGATGGCTGGTCAGAAAAGACCAGCAACAGGGATCTCTGGCAATGAACGAACCAACCTAGCAGTAACCGATCTTGCAACAAATATGCATGAAGAAATGGAGGTGGATTGGCCACTCTGAAAAACCAAACCACCAAGTGACATCACACGCCAGGTCGTTGCTCGAGTGGAACCTTAAAGGGAAACGGCGAGTTGGTTGGTCGTCAGTACGAGGGTGACATGGAGGTGATGTGAAGAGGAGATGGAAGCATGTGGGCAGTTGAGGAGCCTGGTGAAAACGTTGGTAGAGAACCAAACGCAATAGAGACGTGCAGCCAAAGGCCTATGTTCGTCTAGGAACATACATGTGTCAGATGTAATGTTGGGATTCATAAATGGAACCATTAACTGTACTTTAAATTTATTCAGACGTAAGAACTACACAACCACCAACCACACACACGGTCTGAGTTCGATTCCCATCCGATACACTCACCTTAACTAGAGCAGGGTAAGCACGAAAAAAGAGAGAGAAGGTTGAGCATGAGGTTGACAATTCCACCATGGGGTGAAAACAACACTATCGCTATTGAGACTTTAGACAAGTTCACTGGGAGTAGTAAATGAAACATAAAAATGTATTGAACAACAAGTTGTTTTAGTTCCTGTTATCTATTCACAATTTGAAAAAGAAAAGAGTTGGACAGTTAGTCAACCAATAGCCAACATACTTTGAATGTATTATCATCTTTATTATTATTATTGTTTCCTTGGGTTCCTAGTGAAACATAGGGATTCAACTACACGTCTCCATTTTCCACTTCTGTCTTCCTTCTGCTGTACTTTTCACTTGAATCCATGTTAGTCTATACTATTTCAACTCCTCTTCACACGATCTCCTCCATGTCACCCACCCTTGCACTGACGTCCCACTCGCCACTTCCCTTTCGGTCTGGTTCCACTCGAGCAATGGCCTGACGCGCGCGCGATGTCACTCAGCGGCCTCCTCAGCCTCGAGTGTCCAATCCATCTCCACTTTCTCCTGCATATCTGTTGGTTGGCGATTGATAGGTTCTTGTTTTGTTTGTTCCTTCCCATAGTTTCTTGTTGGTGATTCTTTCCAGCCCGGCCCGGCCATCTGATCTTCGGTATAGATCCAGCGAAGACAGTTGTTGGTTGACAAAGGTCTGCAACAGGCTGTTGGAAATATTCTTTGTGACCCGCCCGCCAAGTTTCTGATCCGATCCGTATAGGAGAACTGACTGACTGACTTGACGTTGTTTGTATTGAAAATCCGACTGAATTTTGTTGTTGATGGTGAGTGACGAAGATTTCCAGATTGGTTTCAGGTTGATGAATGTGTTTCTCGCTCGCCTTGCCGATATTATCTATCTACCGTTCTTAGTTATGGTCGATTTGGTTAGACTGACGATCGCTTTTATGTCCCGTACATTTATTCATTATGTTGGATACATTATTCACTTTAGCTTTATTTTCATTGCTTGTTTAGTAGCTCACTTAACTAAATAAACATCGCTCTTAAGAATTAAAACGTAAATGATAGAAATTTCGGTAATTCTTAGTGATCTTTAGATACATTGAAGTGTTTCCTCTCATCGAAACACAGAATTGCTAAAGGAGACAGATTATTCAGCAATAATATTATTTCAATTTCACTTAGATTAGATTTCGTTACGAACCAACGTCAGCAAAGGAGGTCAGTGAAAACTAGAGGTCACTGGACAGCTGTTCCGTCCTATCTTAGGAATCTTCATCATTGTGCACACACGACTGCACTAGGCATCAAACCTGCTACCCTTCACAGTACCTTTTTATAAGCACCCACATCACCTTGATTTAGTGTACCCCGATGGTCAGGAATTTTCATTACAGCTTCAGGGAGTGTATCCAGTAGTCATCAGTTAGATTACCAATTAAATCGTAAACTGCAGATCCTTGGTTCGAACCCTGGTGGGATCGTGGATACGCACCTTTGAAGAGTCCCAAAATAGGACGAAACAGTTATTCAGTACCCACCAGCTTTCATTGATCACGCTAACTGATGTTGGTTAGTGGTGAGAGCTAAATATTTGAAATTAATTTAATCCAAATCACATAATCTCTAAGCATTATCTTGTTTCATCTTTTTCTATAGAGAGGACATGATGCTGTGATCCTCAGTGAATCCGTTGGGAATCAAGTAAGCGAATACCATTCTCGCGTAGTCATTAATATTTTTTTCCTCTTAAAATTAGAAAATACAGAAACTAATCATGGAATATGCTAATCAACACTGAATCGAGTAAGTCCTTATCTATAAAATGAAATATTCGATAAGTTTCGTCTTCGTCTTCCAGGTCTTAGGCATTAAAATACTGTTATCACTGATGTAAATACTTCAGGTTGGACTTTATTATAAATTAACAGCACTTAGAGGAGTATTGTGATTGTATTAGTCTTGTGTCAGTGACCACTACAGGATTGGGGTTTCTAACACAACTTCATCAGGTTTCAAGATGAGTTTGTTACTATCAACTTTCAGCCTATTTCCAGTGGGACAAATTGTTTGACTTCCGTCGAAAACTTCAATCTTATTGAAAATGTCTCATTAGGGCTAGACAAATATAACTCTATATGAAGACAGGTAAAGTATGCATTACTTAGTTAATATCACTATGTCCATTATTATTCTTTCTCCCATGGTTTCCGAGTGGAACGTAAGGCTTCAACAAACAATTTCCACTTTGTCCTATTCTCTGCAGTCTTCTTGAGTTGCCCCCCCCCCCACGATTGCTCATACCCTCTCATCTCCTCCCCATATGATCTCCTTCATGTAGTATTCGGACACACGCTCAACTAGTCGTTTCCCATTCAGGTTTCACTTGAACGATGACTTGGTATGCGATGTCATTCGATGGCCTACTTAGCGTGTGTCCGATCCATCCCTTTTATATATTTCTAGGGGGTAATAATTAACAAAGAAATTAATATGACGATCAAAAGGTACACGGATTTGTAAAAAATAAACAAATGCTTACACAATCCATAACTTTGAAAAAAAATAAGAGGAATAAATGAGTTTTCAAATCGATTACGTAAGAAACAGTTGCAGATGAAGTAGATAGAGTAATAAGACAGTTATGATAATAATAATAACTTGCAAAAGTTTTAAAAAGAGGGAGAAGTAGTTCATTAAAAGTTGGCCTCAGGAGCGTTCAAACTACTAGATACACATGAAACAAAAGAAACCAGGTAGCCTATTTTTAATTTCCTGAACGTAAACTTTGAGTGCGTGTGAAAAGACAGTGTACCAGTATTGCACTGAGTTATCATTTTACCAAATTCTTTAGGCATTTTGTTGTGACTTCATTGGTGTTATTGGCAAATTCTTCTCTGTATATCTATTTCTACTGAGTAATACTTTAGTGGCTTCCAGTGCCTCATTTAAATGGTTGTTAGAGGAGATTACTCTAGGTGTGCGAAAAAACAGTTAACTAAATTGAATTTTCAAGTAATGGTTTGTCGGGATTTGGTTGATTGGTTACACGATTTCATCATGAGCTGACAATGGTTAGAGAACCATTGGAAAACCACCTGGGAGTACTGGACAGCTGTCTCGTCCTAGTTTGAGACCCTTCATCAGTAAGCACCCACCGCGAGGGTTCGAACCTAGGACCTGCTGGTTACACGGCGAGTTCGTATACCATTAAGCCACTGGGACCCGATCCAATGGCCCGCACATGAATTCTAACTCCTGCCAATTCACGATATAGCACAACCGGTAGCCAATGTCTTCGGCGAGTATTTGTCCTCACACTCGACCTGCTGCATCCTACTTGTCACGACTTCCCACTGGAACCACAGTCGCCAGTGAGCATCTCATTGGATTTATATTTCAAAGACACAAAACTCAAAAATAATGAGTATACTGACCCGTCGATGTAACTTTGTAACGACAGAAGACAAGGACCAGGCAACAGATCATTTATTGAGAAAATCAACAGATATTTATGGATTTTTATGTACATTACTCTCAGTGAAGAAGCGACATCTTCTGATTGGTTGTTTTCTTGCTAAAGGTTATTGTGTACTGCTTGTGACCGTTTCTGCGAATCCTGTTTGCACACGTTAAGTCTGTTGTGATCGGTTGGTGAGTTCCTCAAGGTTAAGCTGTGTTATTGTCTTATTTTCTCATGATCCCGATTCTGGACGTAACATTGACGTAAATTACTGTCTACGTCTTTGGCTTGTTTACAACCAGCTGTCACCACAACTTTTCTATATTTACTCCTTTTTACTGTAACATCCCCGTTTCTAGCGACGTCAGATGTAGTATTGTTTTTATTATTTTATTCCCCTATGTTCCGAGTGGAACATAGAGCTTCACGCTAGAGCTTTAAATTTTTGGTATAACTGGTTTTATTTTTTAGAGGATGGCGTTGCTAGCCTCAAACCCAGCCTTCCCTCTTTACCGTCTAAACGAGGTTTAGAAGTGCGTTGAGTGAATATAGAACCCCGGACCAATGTGGCTGGCTAACATTCTACTACCGAGCCGCTGACGTATACAATATTCCTCTTAACTATAACATCCTCTTTTCCAACAAGGTCAGATGTAAAAAGATGGGAAAGTAGGATAAGTGGATTGTCGTCAATAAAAACAAAAAGGATATCAGAATATGATTACGTTAAGCAAAATGAAACAGCACAAAATAAAGAAGATATAAAGTGTTATGAATCACACGGTAAAATTATATCCGTATCAACTACAGAGTTCGAAAGAATCTTTATATACAAAGTTCTGTCTTTTTTATGTATTGCCAAGACTTCCGCTACACAAAACAAGTACACTCGGGTACCTTTCCGAAAAAAATCGGAGCTTTCACATAGTGTTGAAGGATACATCATAGGCTGCGCGGTCACCATCTAGTACATGTTGTGATACAGATGAAGTAATAGCTGTACACTCTTCTTTCTTCAGCCAGGCCGGGAAAGTGCTCCTAAAGGCTGTATCATATGTTTCTCTACGAACAGCTTATGTGTATGGCAATTTAGATAACATTTTCTTAAATTTAGGGTACACCAGAAGATGGATTGAGTTAGTTTTTCGTAGGCTAGCAGAGATAAAAATATATCATTCATTGTCCTCATCAAACAGTTTTCAAGAAATTCATTTGCAGTGCTACAATTAAGTCGTAAATTTAAGCGCAACAGCTTACTGTTGGCTTCATTGAACCATATTCCCATTATTTGTTTATTAGGTTCCGAGTGAAACATAAGGCTGCAGCAGTACATCCCCGTTTCACTGCATTCACTGTCATCACTTTCTTATGACTCCACAATCGACCATAATCTTTACTTCTCTCTTCACATGATCTTCATGTCATCCTCAGACACCTAACCTGTCTCTTCTCATTCGAGTTCCGTGTCGGTGGCCTGGCGTGTGATATCATTTAAATGTCTCTTCAGATTATATCGCGTCTATTTCCATTCCCTTCTGAGTATTTTCGGACTCATTAACTATGAGAGTTCCTTGGTGTATTTTCAACAAACCTCATCTGCTAACGATTCCCTGTGAAAATGTATTTACAGTGTCTAAACTCATAAACGCGCATCGGTGGCACAGCGGTTAAGATGCTCGCCTACCATGCACATGGTCCACGGTTCGATCCCCGGCCACAGACGCACTCCTTTACCTCGCTTAGCCAGAAATAATGCTAGTAAAGAGGAAAGGTTGGGCATGAGGCTAGCAACCCTATGCTGTAAAATAAACAAACGCTGCTACAGAAACTTCAAGCCACCAGCTTGAGGCCCTATGTTCCACTGGGAACGTGAAGGAAAAAAAGCTCATAAACAATACTGTCTTCACTAGGCAACAAAGGTAAAGTAAGGAAAGCTAGTGGAGTTATGTGATGAACTACTTTGTATTTCACTCCATTGTCTTTCTGGTTGTTAAAAAAAAGTTAAAAAGGGAAAATAATTAATTCTACTTCTTCAAAATGGTTGTCATTCTCTCTGTCTCCACCCCCCCCCTCCTTATTGTTTAAATCATAAGCTTTTGTTCTATTGTCCAATGTATAAAGGCGTATTGTTGAATATTTGAATGAATAAAAAAGAAAGCTATAAAGTTCATCATAAAAATTTCTTAAAATGTTAATTTATCAATTTTAAATAAACTTGACCAATCAGCAATTTGAATAAATTCTAGTTATTTAAAGAATCAAGAAAAGGCTTAACATGACCTATTATTCATAAAATAAGTTGAGCAATAATTAAACATGACTTATAGTTTTTGTCAGTCAGGAAACGTTTTCATTTAGAAGATTTCGTTCATCAATAAAGCTGCCTTTAAAAGTTGTACAGTACTATTTATACTCAACGAAAATGCCATAATGCAAGAACTACATTGTTCAAATTCATTAAGGGGAATAAATGTATGAAAATGCCATAATAATTTTTCCATTGGGTTCCAAGTGGAACATACGGCCTCAACAACACACCTCCACTTTCTTCTGTTTTCTACTGGGTCCACGATTGCTCATAATCTCTCATCTCCTCCTCAATACAACATCTCCTCCATATCATCCTCACACCGATGACGCACTCGTCGTTTCTCATTGAGGTTCCACTCGAGATTATGCCTGGCGCGCGGTGTCATTCGACAGCCTCCTCAACGTATACTCGATCCATCTGCATTTTCTCCTGCATATTTGTTGAGCAATCGGCTCATGATAGTCTTGTCACAACCACAGTTTGTTAATACTAATTCTTTCTGGCCAGCTGGCCATTTGATCTTTAGTGTAGAGCCAGTGAATGCCGCTGTTGGAAATCTTATTCGTGACACCAGAGCAAGTTTCTGACCCGTATAGAAGAACTGACCGACTGACTGACTTCACATTTGTGTTGAAAGTGAGAATCTTGTTCTTTACGCTGGAGTGGAGTGCAGCAGCAGATTTCCAAATTACTTTCAAGTTGGTGAAGGTTTATCTCGCCTTTCCGATTTTGACCGGCGCTGAAATTTTCATCCATTCAGCCGGTGGTTGAAACCGTGCTTCCTAGAAAAGTGAAATAAGTAACCTATAATAGTGTAAATCAAATTTCGTGATTTGCAATTTAAATAATTCACGATGAAGTCTCACCAAACTTTGCTTGGGAAACCGAATTTCTTCAGATCACAATATGTGATCTGCTTAATAGCACACTTGACATTCAAGAAAGCAAACATGAATGAATGATGTTATGTAAGACTGATTGGTTGATATAAGTAGTCGGATAACATTTACATCGACAATTTGAGCTA